TTTTGGACCAGCCGACCTTTTTTTGGCTAAAAAACATAAAATAAATGTGAAATGCACTAATGTTACGATTCCTGACTTGGAGCATGTATATTTTATAGTTAAAGTGTCAGGGTTTGATATTTTTTATGCCGAATTCTCTCCATTAATTGTCTATGGTATATTAAAATGATTGGATGGATCTTAACAGCAGTAGACCAATAACGAGAAATTCCAAATTCTAGGGTATAGGGCGTTACTTTACATTTCAATAGTCCTAGGCCAGGATTTTATGAACGGGAGGCGTAATTCCGGTTGCCCTGGTATAGGGTCCATGGGGAAGGTCAGAAGCTCCTGGATTTCAACAATTTAGCATCAAATTATGAAATATTATAACAGACTCCATGATAGACAAATTGGTGAAAATAATCTGCCTTCGGATCATTCAAATTATGTATTGATTAACATGTGGATATCAATTGAATCTTTGGAAGAAGTTGTAAATTCTGTTTAAAGGTTATATGAAATGGGCATGAAAAATGAAAAATAAATCTTTAACGATAGCTTTTTCTGAACTTTTGATATATATATATTTATCCATACCCGACCGTTTTGTTAAAATATTCCTTTTCACTGTTTTGGTCTTTTGGAAAATGTTGTTTGTGCTGTATTTATACCCCTTTAGGCTTTACCAAGAAATTTGTTTTGCATGCACACGTATAAAGATTGCGGTTTTTATCCAACGCAATCATAGGTTTGAACGTTGTTTTCAGTTTAGTAGATATAAAAAGATGTGGTATGAGTGCCAATGAGACAACTCTCCATCCAAGTCACAATTTATAAAAGTAAACCATTATAGGTCAAAGTACGGTCTTCAACACGGAGCCTTGGCTCACACCGAACAGCAAAATATAAATGGCCCCAAAAATTACTAGTGTAAAACCATTCAAACGGGAAAACCAACGGTCTAATCTATATAAGAAACGAAAACACTTATGAGCCACATCAACAAACGACACTGAACATCAGATTCCTGACTTAGGACAGGTGCAAACAGTTGCAGCGGGTTTAAACGTTTTAATGGTACCAAACATTCTCCCTTTTCTGAAACAATAGTGTAACATTGTATTTATAATACCCCGTTCTAGATAGTCAAATCTGACCCCTTCCAATGCAAGGCGAAAAAAACATAACCCCATTTCAGACAATTTAGCTGAAAATGCAACCCCGTTTGTCGGAACATACCCGGTATCATATATATAGCGAGTATCCCCCGGGTAGATGTAGAATGGCCATTGGGGAAGTGTCACACAAAACAACCATTTCATGTATAGATTTACTTACCGCTTTGGTTGTTTAAAAAAGGTGTCCAAGTCACCCATCGGATGGGGGAATCAGTATAAAAAGAAATCAGAGTATGTGTTTAAATAATGAATATGATAAATTGCCATATTCAATACAATATAAGCAGATAACGATAGTTTTTTTTTTTTTTTTTTTTTTTAAAGGGGGGGGGGGGGGGCTACGCCCATTACGCCCTTACCTGGACCCGCCCCTGACTGAATATTTTATGAAGAAAAAATTATCAAAACATGAACAAAACTGTGAACATGGTGTTAGTGAATGAAATGAAGACACAAATAACTACAGACAAGTTTTTATTGACATGTATTATGAAGATCTCCCACTTGAGTAATAGTAGCCAGGGAAGCCATCGTCTCAGAGTAGCTTCTGTCTGGGCAGCTATCGGTGAAAGGGTTAATAACAGTAAATAGTCCCCTGTCCTCATTTCTAATGACTTTTTAGTGTAGGACCCTAATTTATTTACTTGTGATGGTGATGATGGATTGAGCATAAACATCACCCTTTTTTCATCAGAAAAATCTTTAGGGAGCTACCATTTGATTTTTATGGGGGGGGGGGGGGGGGCTAGGATGAAATTTGAAAAAAAAAGGCAGGACAGGAGTTTTGAGTTAGAAAAAAGGCAGGATGAGCAACGTAGCAAAAAAAAAAATAGGCAGGACAAAATTTTTCATCCTAGCCCTCCCCCCCTCCCCCCCTTAAAAATCAAATGGTAGCTCCCTTAAAAATAAAAGTTTATTTCCAAATTATCAAAAAAGTTGTTTTTCGGTTCCCTATTTAATTCACAATCTAATTTATTATACTTCATGTCAAAATGCCAGATTTTGATTGGTTAATACAAGGGAGACAATTTACTCTATCCTATGGTAAATACTCTATTACCCTTCACGGAGACGCTTGATCAAGTGTGCGCTTTATTAAATACGGATGGCTGTTATGTACAAGACGTCATAGTTTATTACTTTGAATTTGAAATTTAATAGACAGTAATAACAGAACATTCAGTATAATAAATTAAATAACACATATCTGAGAGATATCGCCTCAGTTGACAATGTTTTCTCGGGGTAACAATCTGCTCTATCACCATCTCAGCTATGTGTTATTTATATAATGTTACATTTAAGGCATAGTCTCTGCTCTGGGTCTCTCTAGGAATATTAAAATGTCTTCCTTTTTCCATATTTAAATTATGGTCACTAATTCTTAGATTTGTTATCAATTTTCTATATGTAAAGTTTGGTTTTCTTAAATAGTCTTCAAAAAATAAATTTGGTTTAAGGTTCTTATATAGATAAAGTTTACTTTTTTCATCAATTTTTTGCATCTTCTTATGAATCAAATTTTCAAAGTAGTTTTTAGAACTTGTTTTTATATACCCTTTAAATGAATTATTTATTTTTAGATCTGAAGACTCTAAACTATTATCTTTTTTGATTTGTGTAATATCTAAACTAAGTTAACATAGAATATTTTTTAAATTGGTAAACCAGGCGTATACTCCTTCCGTGTCTAAATTTTTTCCAGGGGACTACTTCCTATATACAAGGGGATAGGATGTGCGGCCCTGATTGGAATAATAAACTATTTGATTTGATTCGATTTTATAACGAGTTTTCCCCCTTTTAAGTTAAAAAATCTTAGTTTTTCTTTTTTCTTTTCTTCAACAATAAGACGACCTCTTGTCACTCATTTAAGGAATATCCCTCATTAGGGGATTGTTCCCAACCTGTTTACCTTCGCGATCGCTCGCGTGCCTTTTCCGTTGTTTTGATACTTTTTTTTTCAATTTTAACAATTTCAATACAACTATCCGTTTTAGTTGACTTATTTTGCCTAAAGTTTTCCTTATCACCATCGCCATCTGCCTTTCTCTTCCCCCGAATAATAATAGAAAACATTGAAATTTGACGATCCGCCATTTTTGTCAATGAAAACAAATCAGTGAGGCGCGATTTGTATTCAAATTTTTACGGTGCGGAACCAAAAAAAATCCGGAATTTGAAAAAAAAGCCGACCACCTCCTAAAATGGAAAGGTGGTCGGCTTTCAAAAGAAGGTGGTCGGCACACCCGGCTTAAATGCCGAATGGAAAACACTGGATGTGCCGCTGGAAAAAGTCACATTTTCCATCTTGATAATATGTGAATAGGTGGGGAAATCTATCAGAAATATATGATAAGGTCAATAAAGTTCCCAATATTTGTTATATGAAGAGCTCTGTATTTTTTTCTGAGCTCCGATCAAAGGCGATATTTTCTCGATTATGCCGGGATGTGATTCTCGGAAATATGGGAAAAGGTTACATTTTACCTACGCAATATATAAAGGGTGGGGTAACAGAATCCCAGCGGCATCCCTATCAATTAAGTATCTTGAAGTGAATTGGAATATCTACAGTTTTTTTTTTGCATTTTAGAAAACCCGATCGATGCTTGGGGTCATCACGATTCACGAGTTGATTTTTTTGTCAATCACGATTCACAGAAAATAAATTTCAATGATCACGGATCATGAAAATAAAAAAAAAAAAATCTGTACAAAAAACAGATCACGATAGTGAAAACGCGTCGATCACGAAGAACGAAAATAACCCATCAAGCACCTCCTTTATGTGTATATTTCTAAGAAATAACAAGATAAAACCCTTCAGAAGCCCCATTTCAAATCCATCCCTGTGACGTTAGGGGAACGACCTTTCTGCACAACGCTTAGCGTGACGTCACTTTGGATACAAAAAGAAAGCGCTTCACAAGACAATCACACACTCAAGGTGTCTTTGAAGTAAGTTTTGTAAGACTGCTCGCTATATTCAATTCAAATACAAACCAAATACTTAACAATTGTTTGATTTGTGTAATATCTAAATTAAGTTCACATAGAATATTTTTTAAATTGGTAAACCAGGCGTATACTCCTTCCGACGTTCCGTGTGTAATTTTTCCCAGGGGACTACTTCCTATATACAAGTAGCTGCGGAACCGTAGCTCTTAGGTCCTTATGTTATTTTTTGACTATTTGCGGACCGTCCGTCCGCAAATAGTCAAAAAATAACATAAGGACCTAAGAGCTACGGTTCCGGAGCTAATATAGATCTACAAGGGAATAGGATGTGCCGCTGGAAAAAGTCACATTTTCCATCTTCAAAAAATATGTGAATAGGTGGGGAAAACTATCAGAAACATATGATAAGGTCAATAAAGTTCCCAATATTTGTTATATGAAAAGCTCTGCATTTTTTTCTGAGCTCCGATCAAAGGCAATATTTTCTCGATTATGCCGGAATGTGATTCTCGGAAATATGGGAAAAGATTACATTTTTACCAACGCAATAGATGAAAAGGAATACATTTTTAAAATCTAAATTATATGAAAAGGATGGGGTAACAGAATCCCAGCGGCACCCCTATCAATCAAGTATTGAAAGAAGTGGAATATCTGCAGATTTTTTTTTGTATTTCAGAAAATCCGATCGATGCTTGGGGTCAGTCAGACAAAAATGGAAACTATTGTTTCATTTTATTTCTACCATAGGGTACATTTAAATAGTATATATGCTTTATGTGTATGTTTTTCAAAGAATTAACTAGATAAAACCTTACATTTCAAATCAACCCCTGTGACGTCAGGGGAACGACCTTTTTGCACAACGCTTAGCGTCAAGTCACTTTGGATACAAGAACAAGACAATCACACACTCCCAGGTATCTTTAAAGTAAGTTTTGTAAGACTGCTCGCTATATTCAAATACAAACCAAATGTTTACAGCGCAACAGGTATTAGTATCCTTCACTTACATGTTTTTCATATAATCAGTCGGAAAGCAACAAGCCCTTAGAAACGACATGATTATCTTGTTTAAAAAACGTTGACCGAACTTCTTTTCGTAACCAATGTAAACAAGATGGCGGTGATAATGACACAATCCGGATCGACGTTAACAAAATTTATTTTCAGTTCGCGTTAATAGGTCTTAGGGGACGACCATTTGATATTCTGGGGGGGGGGGGGGGGGGGGGGGGCAGGAGGATTTTGAAAATAAATAACTCAGCCTTGATAATCACAAAAATAAATGGTTTGTTCTGTGGTAGTTTGAAAATAAATTACTTGACTTGCAATGTATTGAAAATAAATAACTCAGCAGGTCTAATCGAAAGTATGAGATGGCACCAGATTCTTCATAAATTCATCTTTTTTCCAAAAAAAAAAATCGGGAAACACTTCCCATATCTTTTAATAATAAAAGTATAAATATTATTTAAATATACTTGAAATGTCAGAAAATTGGTTTCATTTAACTTGAGGTTAATTGTCTCAGGAACACTTACCTCACTTTTATTAAATCAGGGCTGTAACTACATTGAGACAAATGCCTCATGTAGGAAATTTCAAAACCAAACGCTTGTCTCCATATCAAATTGTGTTCACCGTGAGTGCCTTGCAAGAAGCAAGTTCTGTTCTCCCTCAGACGTAGCCCCTGATTTTTTTTATTTGTCTTTTGTTCATTGATTGCCCTTCTGTATTCTGTTAGTGTTGCATTCATTTTGTAATTTAGTAATTTTATTATTAACTTGATCATGAGTTTAAAAAAACACAGCAGCCACAGACTTAATTATGTGAATTACATTTTTGCTTTATCATGCATATTTGTCTTTTGATGTTGTCCCTAGAAACTTAAGTCTTACACTGAATCTATAACGTGATTTTGCTTTGAGACCAAAATATTGTCAAAAAATTATTAAAACAGAACTTGCATTTTCAGTTTAAGAAAGGGTCTGGGGAACACCCAGAAAGCATGATTTTGCATCATTTCTTCTATAGCTTCTTGGGCCTTCAGCGGTTCAAAAACCCTTCAAAAAAAGTTTCCCTCGCTCTGCTCGGCAAAACATGTTTGCCAATATTTTTAAAAGAGCCTTAGGGTCGGAATATTTATTTTCTGCTAATCCACAAATTGACACAAAAACTGACCCTCCTCCCCCCCCCTCATAATCAAATGGGCGCCCCCTAAAGTAATTTAATTTTTGTGATACAGATCACCTATTTGAAAGATACACATACAATTTAACTGAGTCAAATTCAAACAAATAGAGCAGTCAAAATGAAGTCTAGAATATAAAAATAAGAATAAACAGGGGCGGATCCAGGATTTTAGGTTAGGGGGGGCGCACATTTTTTTGAGGTAAAATTATCGAAATATTCTTTTAATATTAAGCTGAGGACAACCCATGCTTTGCAAATTTTAAGGTGGGCACGCCCGCCACGCCCCCGCCTGAATCCGCCCCTGATAAGAATAAGAATATTTTATTTTTCTATTAAAGGGTCCTATAAAGAGCTTTTATCACATTACATACAAATACGTAAGATTAGACATAAATTGAGAAACATAAAAGAAAACATCACCGTTTTACATAACTGTTATATAAGGTCAGGACAGAACCAGATAATACAAACATCTATAAAATATACCACTCAAAATAAGTTTATTTGTGGGTAATTTGCATTTATTATCTTTGAACTTCTCCTTATCTCCGGTGTTTTAGATAAATACTTTCCCAAAAATTTATATACATCTAAATTTTCTTGTGTAAATAGCCATGAAAACCTCAAAAGATTGTCACAGTCTATAAATTGAAAAGTATTGCAGGTTAAAGAAATTTCAGTAAAAAACTCATTTTTATTATCGACATATAGTGGGCATTCAGACATAAAGTGTATCTCGTCCTCAGCTTTATTTAACCCTTTCGTACCGAAATGATCCTTTTGGCACCACGGAGCTGTGGGCGAAATTATCCTTAAGGATACCTAAAATTCTATTTTTAGAACGACAACTTCAAAAGTAAAAATACTAAATTCTAACCATAGGTTTCGGTTCATGGTGTAAATAAAGTTAAAATAATATAACATAATTTTAGTTTTACAATGGTTGAAAGGATATATTGTTCATCAAATGCGAAAACTGGAAATAAAACATGAAAAAATATCGACTCCATTTGCAAAATGGCGAAACGAAAAACTCCTCGTTGAATCGTTTTTTTTTTCATGAAAATAGTGTAAGTATTCAAAGCAACAACGAATCAAATTAAATTTTTAATATAAAATTACAAACTTCAGGTTATTTTTGCTTTAACTTCAGGATCGTAGTTTATTTTTAAATGCTTAAAATGTCGAGCAGGTGCTTGTACGATAGTAAAATTTATCTCGGTGACATCACATTTGCAAACACAAATAAAGCTAATTAAAAATAGTTCTTGTCGGTCATTTTACATATCAACGAATTGATAAAAATCTCTAGAATTTTGGCATATTAATGTAATCCTTAATTACTTTTTTTGTGTGCTAAAAATACAAAAATTCTAACGACCTTAAATTGAACCGGAAATAGACATCGTTATGGAAAATATGTCAACAATCATGGCGGAAAAATATTACACAATTTATGCAATCCGGTAAAAAGTTTGTTTTCGCTTATATTTCGTTTACTTAGAAGTAAAAATAAAATTATCAACTAAGTAAGACATGTAACCTGACACTGTAGTGGTGTTTTCTGCTATTTTAATCTGTTAATTTAAGTAAAAGAAGTGATGAAAGGTATGTCTCGTATCACCGTTGGGTCACTTGTTCAGTCAAAAAAGGTTAACAAAATGTCGTCTGATGAATCTGACGAATTTGAAGGCTTTTCTGAAGGTGAAATAGATGAAGCTGAAGCTAGATGCCAGCATCAGTTACTTCAGCAGGGTTTAGGTGAGGCCAAAAAAAAAAAAAAAATCTGTGTTTCCGGTAACCCGACCGACCCTGTTTTTTTTAGCCCCGACCCTAATTTTTTTATTGGATCTTCAAAAAAAATGGTATCAACCGACCCTGTTTTTGACACAGGCTTCTATTAATCGACATAATTATTTATCTAACTTGCTTCTACTGGCACAGGAAGCCAGTAAAACATTTTATTTATGTCAAAAGGTATTCCAAATAGGTTAAAAACCAAGAAATATGCACAGCAGGTGCTTCAAAAACATTGCAAATGGCCGCACTTCCTGTATTAGAAACTAATTACGGACCCGGACTTGGAAAAACCATGATAATTTTCCGGATTTCGTTTTAAATGTCAAAAAAAAAAAAAAAAATCCGACCTACCGACCCTATTTTTCAAAATGATGTTACCGGAAACACAGATATTTTTTTTTAGGCCTGATGACAGTGACGGCTACATAGAATCCGGTGATTCAGACATTGATATCAATGATGATATCCCTGGACCTGCTGGTGATGCTGGTAATGTCTTTCATAATCATAATGGTTGGCATGAAAACTTTATATATCATGAACGAGGAATGCCTCACCTTTTCACACCCTCTGGAATCTCAGGGCCAACTAGGATCATGCCACAAGACAAGGATCCTATAGATTTCCTTAAGCTTTTCCTGACTGACATGCTAATTGAAAATTTGATTGATGAAACTGACCGCTATGCCCTTAAACAGAAAGAGCAACACCCAAATCAGAACAAAATGGCCTGGGTAAGACCTTCAGTTGCTGGGATGAATGCTTTTCTTGGACTCTGTTTCCAAATGGGTGTTGATAGGAAACCATCTACCAAAATGTACTGGTCAACTGATCATTTTTTGCATACACCTGTATTTCCGCAAACCATGAGTCATGACAGGTTCACACAGATAATGAGATACCTCCACTTTTCAAACTCAGAGTTAGAACCATTACCAGGTGCTGAAAATTATGACCCCTTGTTTAAAGTCAAACCATTAGTAAATCACTTCAATGCCTGCCTCAACCAGGAGTATAACCCTAAAAGAAATGTCACTATAGACGAGAGTATGATTCCGTTTAAAGGTAGAGTTCAGTTTCGACAATACATGCCAGCAAAGCCACATAAATGGGGAGTGAAGGTGTGGATGCTAGCTGAGTCTCAAAGTAGCTACATACAGTTCGTAGACATATATCCAGGGAGACGTGCAACTCCTCAATTACACCTCGCCAGTAATGTTGTCAAAAGGTGTCAACAGGGAGCACAACTATAGGGTAAAGGGTACCATGTGTATACTGATAATTATTTTTCAAGTCCAGAGCTTTTTGTAGATTTATTTGAAAATTATGGTACAGCAGCGTGTGGAACAGTCCGAATAAACCGTAGAGGACTACCCGTTGATATAATTTGTAAACGACCAGAAGGCATAAATCAACGTGGGGATATGAAGTTCCGCCAAAAAGGATGTCTTGTAGCTTCAGCTTGGAAAGATAAAAAAAATTGTAAATGTCTTGTCAACTATTCATGACAACAGTACATCTGAAGTGCAGAGACTAGTCAATACAGATGGCAATTTCTCTAGGCAAAACTTTGTTTGTCCAAAAATGGTTGCAGATAATACTAGTAATATGGGAGGTGTGGACCGTACCGACCAGTATATCCAATATTACTGCTACAATCATAAAACAATCAAATGGAGTAAGAGGGTTTTCTTTGTACTACTGGAAATGGCAAAATTTAATGCTTTTAAACTGTTTATCATGAGCAATAACCATCCATCTTCAATGACATTCCTTGACTTTACTTTAAATATTGCAAAAGGATTAGTCGCAGGCTATTCATCTGACATCCGCAGGGGAAGACCATCACAAGTTCCACTTGAAAACAGACTTGTTCAGAGACATATGCAATCTAGTTTCAACATGAAGTCAAAATGCCATTTATGCTACATGAGG